TTCTGAAAGTCTTCCCGGGAGGCCCTGGAAACCTTCTGCTTACGTCTCACTAGCCAGAACAGAGCTACATGGCCACACCCTGCTGCAGGGGAGGCTGGGAGACGTGACTCTCTAGAACGAATGAGGCTGCGTTATGGGCAGGAGGGGAGGGTGCGGCCTAGGCAGTGAATCTCTAAGTGTCTCCATCCATTTTACAGATGAGGAAACCGAGGCCCCAAGAGGGCAGTGACTCACGCGGGGTCTGAGGCCTGTACTGAGCCAGGACGCCTGCCCAGATCCTGTAACCCCCAAGCTGCTGACGGTGCAAGTCTCAGACTCCGCAACTCCCCGCTGCACCCCCCCAACTGTGAATGCTTGGAGCCCACCTTTGCGGAGCTCAGAGCGGCCCACGGCCAGGGCTGTGTCTGGAGGGCTGGACCCAGACTCCCGGCTGTGGGCCTTGCCGCTCTGTGCCTCAGTTTCCTCCTCTGTAAAATGGAGACAGGAAGTGGCTCCCGGGGTGCGGGGGGGGGGCAGTTTCTGGGGCTCGCAGGGCGGGCGGCGGCACAACCCACAAATAAACTCGACACTGGCTCCTTCCGTGTCACTCGATCCATGTCCCGTCTCGCTGGGTGGCCAAGCCCAGGGCTGTGGGTGGGCCGGGGTGAGGGGTGGGGAGGGCAGGGCGTGGCCTTGTAACCCCCAGCCTGGGACCCTGAGGGCCACCCGCCATCACACATAGGAGTTTCCCTGGAGTGGGCACGGCCTGGCCCCCACCTCCACCCCACATGGACACATGTCCCCAGAAGTCTCCCAGTCTGTCCTTGCTGGGCCACTTGGGACTCCAGGGCCTGGGGAGTGGAGAAAATTTGGCCACATGGTGGCTTTTTTTTTTTTTTTTTTGAGACAGAGTCTCACTCTGTTGCCCAGGCTAGAGTGAGGTGTCGCTCACAGCAACCTCCAACTCCTGGGCTCAAGCAATCCTCCTGCCTCAGCCTCCCGAGTAGCTGGGACCACAGGCATGCGCCACCACGCCCGGCTCATTTTTTTCTATATATTTTTAGTTGGCCAATTAATTTGTTTCTATTTTTTTAGTAGAGACGGGGTCTCGCTCTTGCTCAGGCTGGTCTCGAACTCCTGAGCTTGAGCAATCCTCCCTCCTGAGCCTCCCAGAGTGCCGGGATTACAGGCGTGAGCCACCGCGCCCGGCACCTCATGGTGGCTTGAGGCCCCTCTGGGACGTCTCCCAGTGGGCAAAGAGGTGACTGCCCCCAGCTGGGGGACTAGTGCTCCCGGCAGGGACTCAGCGGGTCAGACACACACAGGTGAAGGTGCCCCCCCCACCTGTCCCCTGCAGCCCTGCCCCTCCAGCTGCAGAGAGCCCCTCGGCGCCCCTGCAGTGGGAGGAAGAGGTCACTGTGTCCCTGAACATCCTGAACGGGGCCTGGCACCTGGGGGCACCCGGGAGGCACAGGCGCTTGGCCAGCATGACAGACACTAAGGATAAAATCGATCCGGGATGCGTCTTCCCTGCAGGCCCGGCACTGCCTGGCCCTCTAGCTGCTTTGCTGGCCCCAGTTAACCCCCAGGACAAGCCGGTTCACAGATGAGGAAACCGAGGCACGCGGCTGGAAACCCGGGATCCAGTTACCCCAGTCTCCAGGAGGGAGCAAGTGCGGCCCGGGCGAGGCGGCTCACGCCTGTCATCCCAGCAATCTGGGAGGCCACGGCAGGAGGATCGCTCAAGGTCCGGAGTTGGAGACCATCCTGAGCAAGAGCAAGACCCCGTCTCTACTAAAAATAGAAATTAATTGGCCAACTAAAATATATAGAAAAAACGAGCCGGGCGTGTAGTGGCGCCATGCCTGTAGTCCCAGCTATCGGAGGCTGAGGCAGGAGGATCGCTTGAGCCAGGAGTCTGAGGTTGCTGTGAGCGAGGCTGACGCCACGGCACTCACTCTAGCCTGGGCGACAGAGCGAAACTCTCTCTCTCAAAAAAAAATTCAATTAGAAAAAGAGAACAGGACAAGGAGGCAGGGGCGCCGCTCCCAGGGCAGGCGGTGGCTGCAGGCCAGGGCGCGACGGAGCGGCCGCGGCCCGGGCAGCAGCGGGTGGGAGGGGCTCCCGGGACCCTCCCGCGCCGGCGTGGGGACTTTGCAGCGCCGCACTCAGGCCAGCGCGGGTGGCCGGAGGCCCCTGCTCACCCTCGGGCGGCCTGAAAAGGGATCGGGGTTGGTTTCGGCCCCGGGGGGGCTGGGCCGGGGAACAATGGGCCGGCGCTTCCCGGCAGGATCGGGTTGTGCGGCCGGCGCCGGGGCGGGCGGGACGGGCCCCAGCGCCAGAGACCTGCTTTCCCACCCGGCGAAGGGGTTCCATTATGCCCCGTCTCCCCACACCTCTTCCTCCAGGCCGGCTCCCTCCGTCCCTACCCCCATTCCAAGGGCCGGGCCTGCTGTCCCCTACCCTGTGCGACCCACCCCTCCTGACAAAGCCTCTCTCTTTGCAACTGGGCCTTGACCTTGGCCTCTGACCTGTCTTCGACTTGCCGCTCCCAGTTTTACAAGAATCCTGCTAAGTCACTTTAGAGAGAACCTCACATCCTTTGATATCCGACCACCTTGGCCGACCTTCATCAAGAACCCCGGCAAGCTGGTTTAGCAAGACTCCCCCACCCCACCCCATCCCTTTTTTTTTTTTTTTTTTTGGGGAGGGGTAGACAGAGTCTCCTCTCTGTCTCCAGCGTCTCCAGAGTGCTGGTGACTCCAGCGGGGGTGCCAGGCTGAGACTTTCAAAAATGCTTTGTACAGCCGGCCGGGGCGGCGGTGCCTCACACGCCTGTAATCCTGCACTGCCTGGGGAGCCAAGGCAGGCGGATTGCTATTGAGTCAGGACGCTGTCGAAAGCGAGCCTGAGCGAGACCCCGGGCCTCTACTAAAATAGACAAGCAAGGTTAATTGACCAACGTAGAAGGAATGAGTACTATACAAAAAAAAAAGAGAGAGCTGGGCGTGGTGGCACATGCCTGTGGTCCCAGCTACTTGGGAGGCTGAGGCAGGAGGATCGCTTGAGCCCAGGAGTCTGAGGTTGCTGTGAGCGAGGCTGACGCCACGGCACTCTAGCCGGGGCAACACAGTGAGACTCTGTCTCAAAAAACAAAGGGAAACAGACTGCATATAGGAAGTACCCTGTTCACGGGGACACCTGGTATGGCAGAGGTCCTCGCAGAGTAGCCTAATCACTGAGACAGCAGGTTCCGTTTTCAAGTCCCAGCTGTCACCTTAGCACCCCCTGCCTCAGTCTCCCTATCTATAAAATGGCCACAAAAACCTAGGCTTCCCCCGGGCTGTGAGAGGGCTACAGAGACGACAGGGCGTTGGGTGCTGGGATGTGGCCCTTGCAAACATAAGCAGCGGCCGTTACTCTCAGTCCCTGTCATTATGCCCAGCGGCGGCGAGCTGGGGCTGGGTCTTCTGTGTGATCGAGAACCCCAGCTCGCTCACGCCCTGAGCCTCGGTTTCCCACCCTAGGAAGGGAGTCCCCTCGGCGCCGCCTCCCTGCCACGATTTCACCCACTCGCCGGGCGCGAGAGCGGCCAGGGCTCAAACTCCACGCGAGGGACGAGGACCCGCAGCCGGGGCCGGAGGCAGACAGGGTAGTGTTTATTGCCGGGAGGGCGACCTTGCCCCTCCAGGCTCCAGACAGTTTTGGCAAGAAGGACTCGAAGGCACCGGTTTCCATCCAGCCTCACCCCTGCCCTGCAGGGCCGGGGGGGCAGACACCCTAAGACGCCATCACCAAGCAACCCGGGCCCGCCCCTCCCCCACGGCTGCAGCTCCGCCCGGCGGTGGCCGAGGGCCGGAACGCCCTGTGACGTGGAGTTCCCAGGATGGGCCGCGGCGGATGCGACCCACCGAGGGTCAGGAGACACTCGGGGGCAGGCGGGCAGCGGCCGTCTTCTCCACCACGAAGCCGTAGTTGTACTGCAGGGAAGGGGAGAGCGAGGGTGAGGGGGCAGGGGTGACGGGAGGGCCATGGGCGGGGTGGCCGAGGCATAGCGGGCCGCTACACACTTAGGGGACGGGGCAGGGTCTGAGCCCCCCCCCGGGGGAGATGGGATGTTCCCCGGCCGCTTGTGCACGCCCTCCCAGCCCTGCACCCACCTCCTCCTCGATGTCCGCCAGAGACTTGATGGTCAGGTCCCCGAAGGCAGAGAAGGCCTGGCGGGCAGAGGCGGGTGTGGGTCCGGGCCCGGCCGAGCGCGCCAGCCCCATGGCCCGTCGCCTTCCGAGGCCTCCCGGCCCTGCGGATGGTACTTGCGCCGGACACTCCCCGCTTCTGTGCCGCGAATGAAGGGCTCTAGGATTCAGGGTCTCAAACCACGGACGCGGCGCGCCAGGACCTTATGCGCGCGGCGCGTTGGTTGGCCGCGGCTGCCCTGCGTCGCTGCTTGCAGCCGGGCTCGTCCCGGCCGCAGTGGCCCGCGATGGAACCTGCCGCCTCCAGCCGGGTCTGGGCGATCGCGGCGAGCCGGCCCCCTGTATATAAAGTTTGAGGACCCGCCGCCCTAGGCCTCGCCACCTGGCCCCACCCCTCACTGCTGGGAAAAAAAAACACCCGGAACCTTTCGGCTGCCACCCTCTCCCCACCGCCAGGGCCCAGGCGCCGACCCCCGGCCACCCGGTACGGATACCTGGTGACGCCCCGGCACGGAGAACGGCGAGGCCCGGGGCAGGGCCGGGTTCCCGACTCACCAGGGGGCCGCAGCTCTTGCCCTCGAATCGGGGGTGCAGGGTAAAGGGAACCCCGTCCATGGCTGGAAAAGACACGCCGGGGGGGAGGTGAGGCCTGGGGGGCTCGAGGCCAGCCCGCTGCCCGTCCCGCCGGGAGAGGCCCACCCACCCGCAGGACCTGCCTCCTCCTCGTCTTCACCAGCCCCAGAGTTGGGGGTGGGGGCCGGGGACACCTTCCTGGCCGTCCACTCTAAAGCCAGTCCCGCCCCCCTCCCCGGTGCCTCAGTTTCCCCACTGCGTGCTCACCTGAGATGCCATAGAGGCTCGAGGCCTCGTAGATGGAGTCATTCCGCCTCAGGGTGGACGCCCGGGAGCCCAGCCGCGACAGCGTCCGCTCGGGGAAGCCGCCCTTGCTGCTGGGGGCAGCCCGGGCAGGTGAGGCCTCGCCTGATCCGCCTGCCAGAGCCACCCTCACCCCCACGCCCGGCGGCTCACCTGGGCTGGCTCTGGCTCGGGGGGTCCAGGGAGAGCCCCCGCATGTCCCGGCTGAGACCTCGGGGCTTGGGCACCGGCCTGGGGGCCTTGGCCTTCTTGCACCAGATGGCAAAGCCGCCCATGTCCCTGGAGCGGGAGGGCAGATGAAAGGGGCCCCGGCCGGGTGCGCAGCCAGGGCCGAGGCCAGCCGCCCGGGGAGAGGGCAGGGGACCCGGGCCTCTGGGCGACCTCTGCCTCTCGGGGGACTTCTGTTTGGACACCTCAGCCTCCACCCCAAGCGGCACGCTAACCACCGCCCTCCACCGTCTAGACACCAGCTCGCTGGCTCCTCGCGACAGCCCCCCCCCCGAGACTGGCGCACCTGTCCCTGTTTTATCGTGCGGGTCTGAGGCACAGAGAGGTGGCAAAAGGAACAGGAGGGGCAGGAAGGGGAGTCTCGAGGCCAGAGGCTGGGGGGTCCCTACCCTACTCGCAGGTATCCGGGCACCGTCTTGGTCTTCCCACTCAGCCGGATGTCACACACCACCGTGTCCGCAGCCCCCAGCGGCACCAGCTTGACACACATGCGCTTCTTCTTGGACACAGAGGCCTCTGGGAGTGGGGGGCAGGGGAGTGAGACGGGGAGGCCGGGCAGGGGTGGGAGTGCCCAGAGAGGGCTCTAGCTCTAGCGCGACTGTGAGGCTCTCCAGGTCTCTGTTTAAGACGGCCACGTGAGGCCGGGCGCGGTGGCTCATGCCTGTGATCACCCGGCACTCTGGGAGGCCGAGGCGGGCGGATTGCTCGAGGTCAGGAGTTTGAAACCAGCCTGAGCAAGAGTGAGACCTCGTCTCTACTATAAATAGAAAGAAATTAATTGGCCAACTAATATATATATAGAAAAAAAATGAGTCGGGCATGGTGGCGCATGCCTGTAGTCCCAGCTACTCGGGGGGCTGAGGCAGGAGGATCGCTTGAGCCCAGGAGTTGGAGGTTGCTGTGAGCGAGGCTGACGCCACGGCACTCACTCTAGCCTGGGTGACAAAGCGAGACTGTCTCAAAAAAAAAAAAAGAACAGCCACGTGGATGGTGTTCGGGCGACGGTCAAACCACAGAGGGTCCAGACACAGGTGGGGGTTCCACGCAGCTCTTAGGAGACACCAGGGGCGGCTGATCTTCGGTGACATGAAGCAGCACTCATGGGGTGTCTGGCTGTGGAACCGGACAGCACTGGGGGCCCGCCCTGGCCCTCAACGCTCCCTTTCCCTCAGTCCTCTAATGCAGGGTTGGGCCAAGCAGCTCAGGGCCTGTCTTGTCACAGCTCGGGTGATGCTTCTACATCTTCACATAGAGAGGAAAATGCGCAATAGACGCCGTCTGGCGTGCAGACCCTGACAATATTCGCTATCTGGCTCTTTTTTTTTTTTCTTTTTTTTGAGACAGAGTCTCGCTCTGTTGCCCAGGCTAGAGTGAGTGCCGTGGCGTCAGCCTAGCTCACAGCAACCTCAGACTCCTGGGCTCAGCGATCCTCCTGCCTCAGCCTCCCAAGTAGCTGGGACTACAGCAGCTGCGCCACGGCCCGGCTAATTTTTTCTCTATATATTAGTTGGCCAATTAATTTCTTTCTATTTATAGTAGAGAGGTCTCGCTCTTGCTCAGGCTGGTTTCGAACCCCTGAGCTCAAACGATCCGCCCACCTCGGCCTCCCAGAGAGCTGGGATGACAGGCGTGAGCCACCGCGCCCATCTGGCTCTTTATGTAAAACTTTGTCAACTGCAGCGCCAATCAGTGCATACACCCGGACCCAGAAAAGGGCGGGCGGGCAGCTGCGGTCAGGATGGGGGGGGGCAGGATGGGAGGGCCGCACCGGGGCTGCGGGACCCGGGGAGCAGGGGTGCGGGGGGCGAGGAATTAGCTACGCAAAGAGAGGAGGGAAAGGGCGCTCCGGGCGAGGAGACGGCGCGTGCAAAGGCCTGGAAATGAGAGAGAGAGCTGCGCGGTGGTTTCGCTGGGCCGCGGTGCGAGGAGTCACGCCGGCCGAACTCCCGGACGGCAGAGACTGCGACGGCGCTCACGCATCGCGCGTCGCCCCGCCCCCCTGCGACAACAGGGCCCGGCGTCCCCAGCCAGCCCTGCCGCCCGTCGCGCAGCGTGCCCGGACGCCGCCGAGTCTCGGGTCGCGCGCACCTGTCGTCCGTCCACCCCCTCCCCTCCCCCCTGCGGGGGCCCCGGGCACCTCCCGCCCCCGGCGCGGGCCTCACTGGAGTCCAGGGGGTCGCAGACCGGGGAGAAGCCCGGAGGGAGCGGGCTCTTGTCCAGCACGACCTGGATGTCCGCCACCACGTTCTCCTGGGGGTTCTGGGGGAGAGGGGACACCGCGAGGGTCACCCGGCGCCCCGGCGGGCAGGGTCGCGAGCACCTGGCGGCCCCCCGGGGCCCCCGCAGGCGAGCGCCCCTTACCTCCAGGCTGCCGAGCGGACTAAGGCACAGGAAGTAGCCGGATTTCTGCGCGAAGCTCTTGCCGAAGCTGGCGGGCGCGCCCTCGACGGTGCAAGAGACCTGCCGGGAGGACGCGGGTCACCACCGCCAGGCTCTTCCCCGGGCCCCGCCAGCCTCCGCCCCCCCGACGCCGCTCACCGCGCTGAACCCCCGCGGCGGAGACGCCGAGGCCGGCGACCACACCAGGCCAGCCAGCGGCGGCGCGTCGGGCCCGGGCCCCGGCTCCATCCTCCGAGCGGAGCGCCAAAGGCGGGGGACGGCCTCGGACCTCCGAGCCGCCTCCCGACGGCAGAGCTCGCGCGGGAGTCCGGACTACAACTCCCAGGAAGCCCTGCGAGGGCGCAGCAGACGACCCCGGAAGCGCCGTATACGCGTGCCCCGACAGCCTCTGGCCAATGGTGTGAGTGCGTGGGGCCACGCCCCCCTACACGTCACCGCGTGCGCCCGCCGTTAGCGTCGTTTGCGGAAAAAGGTCTTGTCGCTTGCTGCTTTCCCCTCCGACGGGCAACTTCCGCCGGAAATGTCGCAGTGCGGTACCAAGGGACTGGTTCTCTGTGAGTTAGGAGTACGTTCCCCGGAATTCCTGGGAGCGTCAGCTGCTACTCCAAACGTTGTTTCCTCGAAAAATTGGGGGAGAAATATGAAAAAACCCGCAATTCCAGTTATGAAAAGGCAAACCAAATAAAATCATCGCGGGATATGCAGCTATTAATTTAAATTACGAAAACTGTGGACCATTATGAGCCGTGAAATGTTGGGGTGTGTGTAACTGGAAGACTTGTTCACAGATACAATAAACTTTCAAAAGTGAACTATAAAAGCATTTAGTCCGGTGCCATGCATGCTTTTACACCCCTCGAGGAAAATATGGAAAGTTAGGGAATAGAATATTATTGACTCTTCTATATTTCCTACAATACCATGGATGGACCCACGGCCTGTTTTTTGCCGTGGGCAAAAACAATGTTTTTGCCATGTGAGCTAACAATGGTTTTCACATTTGTAAATGATTGAAAGAAAATCAAAGGGAGAGCTGTTTTCAGTGACGTATGAAAATTATACGAAATTCAAATGTTAATGCCCAAAATAAACAAAGGTCCTAGAAAAGACGACCCACTAGGGAGAGATATAGAGGCGAACAAATCACAGGTTCCCGTTGAAATTCCCTATATTCCCACCAACTGAAAGAAATCTGTTTTGAAAAACAGCACTCAGCCCTGGGCTGGGTAAGGGGCTGGGGGCCGAGAAGGTGGTGTTGGTTGACTTGTGGACCCGGGGAGATGTCCAGAGTGGGTCGAGTATACCCTGGATCCAGCCTGTAGTTCAGAAGAGGGACCCACTATGCTGCCGGGGATCCAGACCAGGGAAGGAGCTGCAAGAAAAACAAGAATGTCCATGATGTATTTGAGAGAGTGGCGCCTCTCAGTGCTCACTGCAGCAGCAGGTGGCAGGTCCCAATCTGGACTCGTCTTTAGGGAATGCAAGAGCCAGGGAGACAGGCATCCCCCTTGGACCCAGTAACTCCACTTCTGGGAGTTGAATCTAAGGAAAGAATGTGATCAAATCCAAAATGTACCAAATTGAGGCTGGGCAAGGTGTCCCACGCCTATAATCCTAGCATTCTGGGAGGCTAAGGTAGGCAGGTCGTTTGAGCTCAGGAGTTTGAGACCAGCCTGAACAAGAGCACAAGAGCAAGAGCCCGTCTCTACTAGAAATAGAAAGAAAATTAGCTGGACAACTAAAAAATATATAGAGAGAAAAACATTAGCCGGGCATGGTGGCGCACACCTGTAGTCCCAGCTACTCGGGAGGCTGAGGCAGGAAGATCGGTTGAGCCCAGGAGTCTGAGGTTGCTGTGAGCGAGGCTGACGCCACGGCACCCTAGCCCGGGCAACAGACTGAGACTCTGTCTCAAAAAAAACACAAATGCTGATTACAATCTTACTTTCCCAGATGCAGAACAAAGACTGGATGAGATCAGTCAGCCCTCCACCGCACTCTGAGACATCCACATAATTCATCTTTACTGCTCCTTCAAATGTCTGCCTTATCTTTTGCATAGCATAATTTCGCTGGGCACTAATTAAGATCACAAGAATGCAACTGTTTGCCTCACCACCTAGCCTCTGGGAGGCTGCAGACGATTGTGTGGTTTGGGTTTTCGTGCCCTCAAGCGCTGGCTTCATAAACCTCAATTGACTGAGATGCTTGTCTCAGCCACATTAGGGTTGACATTCCCATCCAAACGACCTGGGGAGGAGCTGTCATCACGCCCATGCTATAGGAAAGCCCATGGCGCTCACAGGGTGAAGGAGCCGGTCTAGAGCCACGGCGGAATTTGAGCGCAGGTCTGACTCTGCGCCTGCACTCCTTGTCACCGTTTGGGGCACTGCTGGAGCCTGGGGCTGGAGCATTTTCTATGGGGGGTGCTGTTGGATTTGTTTTAAGAGGAATTTGAAAGGGCCGGCTGATTGCCCAGAGTAATTGGCTAAAACCAAGAGTTGTGGGGAGTTCGAAAACCAGCCCTGAGCAAGAGCGAAGACCCGTCTTCTATTATAATAGGAAAGCAATTAAATTGACCCAACGTAAAAAAATAGTATAACAGAAAAAAAATGCAAAAGCCGGGCGTGGTGGGCGCATGCCTGGTTTGAGTCCCGCTACTCGGGAGGCTTTGCAGTGCAGGAGGGTTGGCTTGAGCCCAGGAAGTCTGAGGGTTTGCCTGTGAGCGGAGCTGATTTGGGCACGGGCCCACTCACTCTTGCCTGGGGCAAAAGCTGGACTCTGTTCTTCAAAAACAAAAAAAAAAAAAGAAAAAGCAATGCTCCTGGATGAGCTTTCCCTGGGCCAAGCCCCTTCCCTTAAACAGGATGGAGGATTTGGCCCACCCTGCCACACCTCGACATCCCAAAAAAGCCAAAGTGCGGAAGCAGAACACACGGCGGAAACAGAAAATTAAAAAACACTTGGTGATTGTGGGCTTAGGCTTGTGGTCACCTTGGGCGCTCCTTTAAGATTTTTTCTTTCCTTTTCTTTTTTTTTTTTTGAGACCAGAGTTTTCTCGCTTTTGTTTCCCCAGGCTGTGTGAAGTTTTTTGGGCCGTGGCGTCCAAGCTCGCCCTCACAAGCAACCTTCCGAACTCCTGGCTTCAAGCCCGATCCTCCTTGCCTCAGGCCTCCCGGTAAGCTGCCCCGATTACAGGCATGCGGCCCACCGTGTTGCCGGCCTAATTTTTCTATATATAAAATTAGTTGGCCAATTAATTTTCTTTTCGGTAGTTTATAGTAGAGACGGGGTCTCGCTCTTGCTCAGGCTGGTTTCGAACTCCTGACCTCGAGCAATCTGCCCACCTCGGCCTCCCAGAGTGCTAGGACTACAGGCATGAGCCACTGCACATGGCCCAAGGTTTTTTCTTTAATAACCCAACATTCCCCTCTCAATATTAACCATAAAAAGGAAAATCCCCTGTGCCCATGTGTCCCCTGCTCCTTAAACAGCAACTCTTCCCTGCCTGCCCCAGGGTACAAGGGTGACCTCGTCCTAACCCAACCTGGGGTAAGCGCCGGGTTCCCACTTATCTGCAAGGAATGCGCCAGAGCTTCAGGAGCCAAGGCTGGAAGAACTGGAGCAACGAAACAGGTAACCTGAAGTATAAACTACGTCATGCACAAGTCCACAGTGACACAAATAAGTGATTGAACACTTATTTGAAGAAGAGTCACGTTTGACATGTTTGAAAAGAGTCAAAAGTTTCAACACTTATTTGAAAAATGCATGAAAAAGAGTGACAGTTCCCATGCGGAGGAATTCCGAATAATCTGGACGGGCACCGTGCCTTCCCGGAGGGGAGCATGACCTGCCACCCCTTCGGTTTGAGCTGCACACAGAGACTTCCTCCCAAAGGGCACCGTATTCGGGGGGATGTCAGAGTCACTTTACGAGGGACAGACCTGCCAGATACAACCTCAGCCAGGAGAGTCAGGTCAACACCAGCCACGGTCAGTCACGTGGACAGGATGTGACCAGAAGGGCACTCACCTCTGCGGTCTTCCTCCCCTAGAGCCATCACCCCTGTCTAACCACGGCAAAAACATCAGACCAATCCCAACGGAGGGACATCCCACAACGCCTGGCCACTACTCCTCAAACTGTCAAAGTCGGCCGGGCGCGGCGGCTCACGCCTGTCATCCTAGCGCCCTGGGAGGCCGAGGCGGGAGGATTGTTTGAGCTCAGGAGTTCAAGACCAGCCTGAGCAAGAGCGAGACTCTGTCTCTACTAAAAGTAGAAAGAAAATTAGCTGGACAACTAAAGAATATATAGAAAAAATTAGCCAGGTATGCTGGCACATGCCTGTCTGTCGTTCCAGCTACTCGGGAGGCTGAGGCAGGAGGATCGCCTGAGCCCAGGAGTCTGAGGCTGCTGTGAGCGAGGCTGATGCCACGGCACTCACTCTAGCCTGGGCCACAGAGTGAGACTCTGTCTCAAAACAAAAACAAACAAACAAACAAAAAAACACTCCTCGCACAACCACGCTTGACTAGCTTAAAAAAAAAAACTGTCAAAGTCGTCAAAAACAAGGAAAGTCTGAGAAAGCATCTAAGGGCACATGACACCTAAATGTCATGTGGGATCTTGGGACAGAAAAAAGACTTTAGGGGAAAAAGAAGGCGAAGTCTGAATAAAGCAGACTTTAGTCAATAATAATATATCAGTATTGGTTCATTTGCTGAAACAAATGCACTATGCTAATGTAAGACGTCAGGATCGGGGCTGGGCGCGGCGTGCACGGGGACCTTTTTGCGCCTATCCGCCATATTCCCGCACTATTTCCCCGCAACTCTAAAACGTAGTCCCCCCTAAAAAACAAAGCCCAGCGCAGCGCCTCATGCCTGTAATTCCAAACACTAAAGAGGCTGCAG